CCCCCGCCACCAAATCCCCAGGCGAGTGGGACTCCTCACCCTCAAACACCCCAAAGATGTCAGAGTTTGAGGGCTGACGTCATCTACCCTTAATCCAAGACCCTTCCTCCCTCTCTACACTGCCCACCCCCACCCTTCAGCTTACCGAAGGTCACTACCCCTGTATGTCTCCTTAGGTCTCTTCCTCCTCTCTTTCTGGAATCTTATTAGGCAGAGCACAGCGACAGACAGGAACAGCACGCCCAGGAGCACCCCGATCAGAGCCCCAGCCACTCGGCCTTTGGAAGGGTCTAAGGGTACACACGGTCCTCAGAGTGGCAGACCCCCCTCGGCCCCTGCTCAGGCAATCTCAGGCAGCCCCTGCAATCCAGGCCTGCCAGCCTGGCCAGCGTCCAGCATCCCTACCGGTCACAGAGAAGCTCAGTTCACAGGATGCGCTGCCCATCTGGTTGGTGGCCACACAGCGGTAGGTGCCCGAGGAGGCCAGGGAGAGGTTGGTGAGGATGAGCTGACCAGATACCTCATCTGGAGGGTAGAGAGGAAGTGCTCCAGCATTCGTTCCGCTCACAGTGAGCACCTCCTATGACGAAAGCACTTTGCATTTCGTCCTTACTACCATCCTGTCAGGAAGGGACTAACCTCATTTTATTAGTGGGAAAACTGGCTCAAAGGAGGAAAGGAATTGTCCCAAGTGACCCAGAGAGGAAGTGCCAAAGCTACTGCAAATCTGTGCTCTTTCCACCCTCCACAGCTGCCTTTTGGGGGAAGGGGGAGACTGTCCACACATGAAGGGTTCGGAAACTGGCAATGGAAACTGGGGTGGGGTGCTTACTGGCTGAGATCAGGTTCCTAGTTCAGGGGAAAGGCCTTCATCGCTAGAAATGGTATCCTCTGGGATGGCTTTAGGCTGACCAAGTGCTTTTCTAAGCTGCTTACTACCTTCCTTTTAGAAGGCAGAGCACACACCAGGAGGGGATCTGGGGGCTGTCTAGATTGATATAGCAGGGGCTGGGGCTGGGAGGAGAGACCAAGGCCAGCAGGGGGAGGCTGAGAAGCCAAAGCTCTTAGCTAGGCATATGGTTCCTCCAGAGAAGCAGGCCAAGTGACCCAAGACCGTCCATGCTACTCTTCCTGTTTCTCTCCTAGGAAGTTTAGAAACGATTTGTGACCCTTAAGAAATCAAAAAGAAACCCCTCCAAAACAGACAAGTGGGCATCACAGAACGCCCCGCCTTCCACTCTCTTCCAGGGTATTGGGAGCATATCTGGCTTGAGAAATGCTTCCAGGGTCATGCAGTCATGGGCTGTGCAGGGAGACAGACAGGAGAGACTGATACAGGAACCAAGAAAGACGCAGGGAGAGGGTAGGGCATTTGTCTCCCACCCCCAGGCACGGGGCATACAGTTTAGAGACCAGGTTTGCCCAGGCCCTGAGTCCCCTCTTCCCGATGCCCTGGCTCTTACCTTGCACCATGCTGCCTGGAGGAGGTGTGGGAGAAGATCCCAGGCGGACCCAGCTGTACACAGGCTTGGGGGCCCCCTCTGCAGAGCTGCAGCTCAGTGCAGCAGAGCCCCCCACAGAGGTCTGACCAGTCTGGCTGCATGAGGGGCTGCTGGGGGGCACTGCAAACAGTCACAGGACAGACCTCAGTGACCTTCTAGCCCCACCCCCATTCAGTGCTAGGTTTCCCGCTTCAGGGCTCCTACCGAACAGCGGTCCGCTTTTGTTCACAGACCATTGCATCCCCAGGAAATGGTTTGCACTATTGGAAATTCTGATTGTTAGAAAAACCTTCCCATATTGAGGCCAAATCTGTGATAATATAACATCCACCCATGGGTCCTAATTCCTGCCCTCTGGATCCACGAAGAGAAATGAAAACTCTGCCCCCCACAGGACAGCCAGCCCGTAGATTTCTGAATGCAGCTGCCATTCACCACCTCTCAAGCCTTTTTTTTCTTTTCTTGCCCCCTACCCCCCACTTAAACGTCCCCAGCCTCTTTAGTAGTTTCTTCCATTTGTTCATCTCCGAGCGGGCTCTCGTTTGGGGTGAGATGGAAGCTCTGAACACAGAACTGGTGCTTAGTGTGGCAGGGGCCCTTGTTCCTTTAATAATCATCCCCTCTTTCTGTCACTGACCTGGGGAGAGACAGAATCTGAGATACAGGTGGGAAATTTCCCCAAGATGGAGCTGCTGGGGGCATGACTCAGACCCTGTGCGTGGGACCTTTGTTGCTAGAGACTGAGGTGAGGGAGCTGCCCTTGCGGAGGGTGGAGCAGGTGAGTTACTGGCTGGCTGGGTCAGAAGGCTTCAGGGAGGAGGTGCTTTTCCCCAGCGCAGCTGTGTGCTTGGGCTGGAAATCAGGATGGGGGGGTAGGTATTTATTGGCACAATCTGTCAGGGTATGCGGGTCCCCAGCCTGCCTTACCCAGCACAGTAAGGTTGATCAGCCCCATCCCATTGGTGTAGAAATCTGGTGGGTTGTTAACATGGCAGAGGTAGGTTCCAGTGTCTGAGGGGCGCACATCAGTCAGTTTCAGGGTGGCCACGCCTCCTGTGGGGGGGTTCTGCAGCAGGCTGGCCCGCTTTGCCTTAGAGCCAGTTGGATACAGGTGTCCATTGGTGAAGTACAGGATCTAGGGAGAAGCAGAAGACACACGTACGCTCCCTTCCCGCCTGGCATCAGCTCCGCAGTCCTTTCTCAGAAAGCTCCTCCCTTACACCAGCGCGAAGCAGACGCTCTGTAGCCAGAACCATGAAGGCCTATCTCCTCCCAATGCCAGCCCTTCCTAAGCGCTAAATGAACTATATGTTCATTGTTTTCAGCTACATATTGCTCTCAATGGGGGGGTGGAATACAGATATTTCTGGAAGGGGCAGCATTTTACTGTGCTTTGAATCACAACAGCTGGGCGTCAGTTAATAGTGTTTATTTACTGAAGCTGGGACTGCGCACACACAGGGGAGTTGCACAGGGGAGCTCTGCAGGGTAAGTGACCTGGGATGGCGCAGGTTGCGGTCCTCAGAAGACAGAGAGTCCACTTTGTTTTTTTAAATTTGCACCGGGGGACATGTTCATTGATTTTTAGAAAGAGAGGAAGGAGGCGAGAGAGAGAAAGACGTTGACGTGAGAGAGAAACTCTGCTGGGCTGCCTCCTGTACACATCCTGACCCAGGATCGACCCTGCAGCCTCGGTATGTGCCCTGACGGGAATCCAACGGGCGACCTTGCGGTGCTGGGGACCACGCTCTGACCAACTGAGCCACACCGGCCAGGGCGCGTCCACGTCCACGTATTCTTTTTCACCCAGGCATGCTGATCTCCCTACACACCTTCCCCGCCCTCATTCCGGGTGGGCCCCCCGTTCCCGCCTCTCTGAGTCTACCGGCCGCGGCAGGAGGCCCCCCACTCGCTCACGGGCAGGGACGCAGAGATGGGCCTCCCGGGCTGCACGAAGCTCCACTCCAGGGCGAAGCTGTCTGTCACCGACGTGCTGTAGCTGCAGGCGAGCTCGGCGGTCTGGCCCGCCGGCGTGCTCAGGGGCTCCGCGGGCACGTGCACCTCCACCGCCGCGCCGGGGGCTGCGGGCGCGCGGGGAGGGGCGCTCAGACAGCCAGCCAGCGACTGAGGGGAGCGGGGTCGGGGGCCGCGGGGCCGGCCTCCAAGCCCCGGGCCCACCCGCCTTCACAAGGAGGCTGAGGGCTCCCCGTCCCCACCCCGCGCCCTGTCCCTTCCCCAAAACCTGAAGTTCCGGGAGGGAGGAGTACACATCCCGGGCGAGTTTCGTGGGTAAAAGGACAAGACTGGCCAGGTAGGAGGGTGTGGGTGTCGCGAGAGGAAAACAATGGCTCTGCGCTGGTTCAGCCCTCCCGGAGAGGCCCAACTAGCTGGCGGGCTTGTGCGCCCCGTCTTCGCCCCACCGGCCCTGACGCCTCGACCCCGGTCTGGCGCAGCCCCCATCGCGGCCCCAGCCCCGGCCCCGGCCCCGGCCCCGGCCCCGGCCCCTCCTCACCAGTCAAGCAGACCAAGCCCAGCAGCGCCCCGCACAGCGAAGGGCCCGGGAGCCGGGCCATGGCCGTGTCCTCCCGTCTTTGGTCTGGAGTCTGGGTGCAGGAACGGGAGGCGGCGCCCACAGGGCAGCCTCCTGGGGCTGGGTAGGGGTTGAGACTGACTATCGCAGAACAAACAAGGGGAGAGGCCCGTGCCCTCGAGTAAGGAAACGCCTCTCCCTTCTCCAGGCCCAGTTCTGGAACCATTTTAGCCCCAAACATCCCCGCCATTTCTGAAGCTGTCAGGCCGTGGAGAAAGGACTGGGGGGCTGGGCACCTGCGGGACGGGGTCAGGACCGCTGCTCTGCAGCGAAGAGAGAGCCCCGGAGCCGAGGCCGGGATCTGACCCCCTGTGAGCTGCCAAATGACATCACCACTTTAAGTCCTAACACCGGAGACCCTTTCTGACCTCTTCAGAGATTCTGGTTCCTTCCACGCCCCTCCTGTTCTCCCTGAGATCCCTTCTCTGGCACTTTTATCACCACCGGCTGAGGTAGGAGTCTCCATGGCAACGACAGCCGTCTCCCCACTCCCATAGTCGCTCCTTTCTGTGGGCAGAGAGGCTGAGACTTGGAGGAAGTATGTTTGGAAGAGGGGAACCCCAGTCCGGTCCTCTTCTCCGCCCTTGAAGAGGAAGCAAGAAATCAAGTGCACAAACACCCAGGCTCTGGCAGAAAGTGCACCAATGTCATTCCCTGGCTACGCAGCTGTTCCCGTGTTCCCAACCTCCAGCCCTTCATGCCTCTGCCATTCCACCTGCCAGCAATGACCCCTTTAAAGGCTCTAGAACAGTTTTCCTGAGCCACTAAGTGAGGGGGAGGGGGAGGCATACGGAGAAGCCATTTTGGGGATAGGGCCTGGGTAAGGGTCAGGCTCTTTGCGTCAATCCTCAGCTCCTCCTGGAAATTCCAACTTTGAAAAAGTGACTCTCACTTTCCATACAAACACAATGTATCTTTATTGAAATTTGTAAAATAAAAAACAAAAACACACATTCCAAAACACGCATTTCAAGTTAGTTTAACAAATATCTCCCCTACCGCTGCCGGGACAAAACCCAGCCAAGTCAGCAGGAGAGGTCACATGAATCCGGGGAGCTGGAGTGGGAGGGGTGTTAGGTGTGGGTGAGATAGAGACCGAGGGGGCGGAGCACTCATTGATTGGCAGCCCCACCAGGGCCCTGTGGGGGAGGGCAGCTCATCTCTGCACCGCTGGCTCGTCCGCAGTGTTGGGGAGGCCCTGGGGCGGAGGTTAGGCTCTTTCTAACCCAGGCCCATTTTCTCATCTTCGACCTCCTGGAAGTTGGAGTCTTAACTGAGACCCAGGTTTTCCAGGGTGAAGGAAGGCGGGGCCAGAGGACTGGCGATCTGGAAGGTGGCCACCCTCCTGGAATTCGGGCCTCGTGCTGGGGCGACCCCTATAGCGGTTCCTATGGGCAGGAGGGAGACCTGAGGGCTCTGCCAGCAGAGGGCTGGGCCTGGGCCGTCACACCAGAGAGCCAGCCTGATTCTGGGCGGGCACCATCACGGGGACAGCGCCCTTGCGGCTCAGAGCAGAGGAAGAGACCCTGCCCAGGCTGGGCGTGGGGGTCACGGCGACAGGCCTGCGAGGGCCTTGGGGTGGTCTGAGGGCTGGTGATGAGGTGACAGAGGAAAGGGTCCCATTCTTGGAGACTGTGTCTGAGCCCTTGGGCCAGGGCTGAGTCCGAGGAGCGAGGGCGTCTTCCCTAGTCATCAAAGTAGTGAGGTCAGAAGCTGGGAGTGGGAGTCGCTGCATGCCCCGCCTCACTCCCCTCCCCCACTCTCCTCTCCCTTAAAATCTCCCTGCAGGAATGGTCTCAGCCCCCATCCACCCTCCTGTTCGATGGGAGCTGTGTGCACTCCTAGCCTCTCTAAGGGGAGTAGGGGAGTCCCCGCTGGGCAGAAACAGGGGCACTTACTTGATATCATTGGCTGGCTCCTCTAGGGCCTTACCCTGGCGTCGGTACAAAAGGACCAGTCCGGCCAGCAGCCCCAGTCCCACCAGGGTGCCCACCACAGCGCCGGCAATCACCGCAGCCCCAGGCCCTGGAAAACTGCGCGTCAGGGGGTGGCATCCAGCGGCTCTCCTCCCCTCTCCCATCCAACTACCCCACTGTACTCATTCTCTTTTTCCCTGTCAAGGAGAGGTGGCTGTCAAGCAGAAAATGGTCACTGATCAAACCTTTGTACAACCCTTTGACCAGGACAAGTTCCTTGCCCCATTACAATGAGAGGCCTCAGCAGACACGCCTCCTCCCCACCCCTGCAACCCCACACCGACCACTGAGTAGTCTTCTCCTTACCCCGCTTACCCCTCACTGACCTGTGATTACCTCTACGGTCACGTTGCATTGGGCATTGCCCACGTGGTTGTAGGCCTTGCAGGTATAGACTCCAGACATAGACATGGAAAGGTTTTTGAGTCTTAAAGACCCATCGATGGCATCTGTGGACACGATTTAGCCATCAGGCCAGGGATCCGATTCCCATTTAAAAGAAGAAAACCCCACCCCTCCTCTGCACCATCCCCTTGGACTCTCTGGGGGACTCAGCGGCCTGTTCCCTGATGGAGGGAAAGGGGCGGCGGTCAGCACACTGGGCCCCATGGCTCCCGGCTGCCGAGCGGCTACCTCAGCATCCCCCTCCACCCACCTCCGCGGCTCGGCGTCCCTGACTGATCCTGAAAGGAGGCTAAAGGAGAAGGGATGTGCAAAAACCCCAAAACATGGGTTTTACTTTTACTTCTAAATGGCAGAGTGTGTGAGAGAAAGAATATTAAGCCGGGACTGAGAAGGCCTGGGTTCCAAAATAGGCCATGTGACTTTAAGCAAGTTACTTGCTATCCCTGGGTCCCAATCTCTTCATTTCTAAAATGGGGTAATATGACCTTCTGGATAGTGCTGAAAGGATTATATGAAATAAGAATAGTAACAGTTCAAGTTTACTGGCTGCTTATGGCACACCAAAGACTAAGTTCTTTGCATGCACTAACTTAACAAAGGTTTTGAAACAAACCCACCAGGGAAGTGCTATGTAAAAAAAATTATTATAAAATGGACAAATGAAAAGTAGAAAGAAGGAACAAAATGAAAATCCTACCACCGAGATTCAATAATTTCTAACATTTTGCTTTACATATTTCCTTTTCTTTCTTTTTGTCTAAGACATTTAAAAATAAACGCTTCAGCATGCATCTCCCAAAGTGGACACTGCCCTGCATAACCACAATACCGTTGCCATACCTGATAATTAATAATTGTCTAAAGGCATATAACACTCCATACTAAAACTGTTCCATCAGTTATATCTCCTTAAAAATTGAAAAAACAAAGTTCCAATTGCCCCAAAATAACTTCTATAGCTGGTGTGTTTTCAAATCAAAACTACTGATACAGCGTTTCAAAAAATGAGGAAATTGCTCCAGCTGGTGTGGCTTCGTGGCCTGAGTGCTCTCCTGTGAACCCAAGGGTCTCTGGTTCCATGCCCCTCAGGGCACGTGCCTGGGTTGCAGGCCAGGTCCCCAGTAGGGGGTGTGTGAGAGGCATCCACATATCCATGTTTCCCTCTCTCCCTCCCTTCCCCTCTCTCTAAAAGTAAATAGATAAAATCTTTTTTTTTTAAATGAGGAAATCGAGGTACCAAATCACACAGCCAGTGAGCAGCAGAGCTGGAATTTGAGCTCAGGTAGATAGATGTCTAGCTCTGGAGCCTCTCTGGGCCCATAGTGGACAGTGCATGAAAGCACCAACCCAGGCTCTCACCTGCTCGGCCCCCTCTCTCTGTGTCCCCCCACGTCCCCTTCCAAGGATTTTCAGCCCGGCATCCCCTCCTGCCCCATCCCTCGGGCATCTGCCCCCGGCCTCTGCCCCTGCCCCGGCCGCAGCCTCACCTGGCTCCAGGAGCCCCTCACCTGAAGCTGGTGCATAGAAAACCTGGGAAGACGGGGGTGGCCGCGCCCACTGGTAGCGGGCAGCGGGCTTACTCCTGGGGGCCTGGCAGCTCAGGGTCACGTTGGTCCCCACACGGGGCACGCCCAGGAGGCGGCAGGATGGAGGAGCCGGAGGAACTGGGGGGTGGGGAGGAGGCAGCTTAGAAACTCACACCCAAGACGCCAGCAGACACCCCACCGCCTACGCACGGGCCCTTTTGTCACCCCTCGCGCCCCCCTCCAGCCTCCGCCGTTTGCGGGAGGGACCCGCCGGGCGCCGGGCAAGGGCGGCCCCAGCGGCGCGCCCTGCTTACCCCACACGTCCAGCTCCAGCGTTTTGCTGCTGTGGCTCCGGTTGCTGCCCTGACGGTCTTGCACGGTCACAGAGCAGAAGTAGGACCCGGAGTCCTTCTCCCGGAGGCCCTGCAGCCGCAGGGACACGTTCCGGGAGGGCATGGAGTAGACCAGGGATACCCCTGCTTCGCTGGACGTGGCCCCACTGATGTGCGACAGCACCTGGTGCGGGCAGGTCACCTCCCCGTGACTGTGTGCCGCGCTGTGCCCCCAGGCTCAGCCCGTCCCCCCTCCTCCCCCAAACTGGCAAACCTCAGATGCCCCTCCCGGGCGCCCGGCTCCTCTAACCTGTAGCAGCTCCCGCTCCCCGTCTCCGGCCACCCTCTCGCCACCCCGGGCCCTCTTCACAGGAACGGTTCTTGATCCCCTTTATTCTCTCTCTTCATCTCCCACATGGGGTGTTTGGAAGGTGATAAAATGGGTGAGAGATCATGTAAATCAGGGTTATGTATGAAAGGAACTTAGATTGCAGGGGTATATCCAAGATTTAAAGAGATCTTTTATCTTCTTTATCTTGAAGAGGTCCCTGCCCATGCCAATGCCAAACGTAGGGAAGTTCAGGCCTTAGGAAACCTGGATCTACCCCTGCAGTCTGTTTCGTTCACACTTGCCCCTTGCTTATCAAATGACCTCAGGAAGACACTTTCTAGGGCTTTGGAAGGAGCCATGCACGCAAATTGTGTCCTTGGCCTCCAGGTGCATCTGCCGCTGACTTTGAGAGTGACGTCAGGAAAGGGGCCAGAGGGGAGACTGCGCGAGGCCGCCCCTTGCCTCTCAAGATGGGCACGAGAGGCAGTGGCCTGTGACTGTTGGACGTGTGAGAACAGGTCGCTCCTCAACTTTAAAATGTTACGTGACGCCCGTCCTAACCCTTCCCACCTCCACCCACAGTCCCTGCTTCCCCACCGCCATAGCAAAGTAAATGCCTCTCCCCTTCTCTGCGTTTTTTGTGCTAGATTTCCAGGGAAAATGGGGGGAAAGAGAATTCTTCTGGGACACCTCCAAGATCTGAACAAAATTAAACCGGCAAGGGGGACCTTGCTTTTCCCAAAAGTTTTTCCTGCCCCGTTTGGTTCCCCGGCCCATCACCTCCCCACTCCCCCACTTGGCCCTCTGTTCCCCCCACCCCTGCCGCCTGCGCACTGGCTGGTTGAAGCTCAGCCCCTTTCCTCCCTCACCTGTTTCTGCTCCTTCCCTTCTTGTCCCAAGAACCACATCAAGGTGAGCTCCTCCCAAGGCCTGCCCTGCGCCGAAGCCTTCTCCCCTTTAAAGGTGTACCAGGCCGGGAGCACCACTTCCTCTCCCTCCACTGCTTCCAGACGGGAGAGGCCCTCCGGCACGTGCAGCTCGACCTGGGCACAGGTGGCGGGTGCTGGGGAGGAGAGCAAGGAGGCATGAGTGCACGCCTGCCGGTCGGGGCAGAGGAGAGGGTCAGGAAGTCCCGCCAACATGAAGGACGTGAAGGATGGCCTCAGGGCCCCACCCTTGAAGGCTCGAAGACGCCCAGGAGACCGAAGCTAGTGCCTGCTCTCAATGGCATCAGCACTTACCCTCTGACACCTCAGCCTTTGGGCTTATAATGGGGAGGAGGACACAATTACGTGCCATTTGTTTGTACCTGGAAGTACAGATTTCAGAACACCAAAAAGAGGGGGCAGATTTCCAGCGAGGAGGGGACAACCCTCAAGAGGAAGAGCGGGTTTAATACTTTGGGTCTACATTCTGGGCATCCCAGTTGCTCCTCCAGTTTCCCCAGGGTGGGGCGAGGGTGCGGGGAGTGCCAAGGCTGGTCAGGATCTTCTCGATCAGAGGAGTGCAGGGGTTGGGAGGCCGCTGGCTACCCAAGGCTTCTGCTGAGCTCCCCTGAGTGGAGGCTGGAGCGGCCCAGTGACGGCTGTGCTCCCCACACCCCGCCCCCTTGGCCCTGACAGGTTCTCTCCCTGGGAAAGAGAGTTGGGACCCGGAAGGTTCCCACGGGCCCTCTGAGTGTCCAGGTGATTTAGGCAGGTCCTCTGAGATCACAGGGAATCATGAAGGAAGGAATCAAGTAGAAACTTGTGGCTGTGTGTGCCTGGCATCCAGGTGGGGGGGCTGCTGATTTCAAGGTGGGGGGGCTACCAAATCAGTGTCGCACTTTTTGCCCATTGGAGAGGCAATGGGGCAGCCGAATTCTAAGCTGCTTGGGGGAATACCCTCGGGTTCCTGTCCCGCTGGGGCTGAGGATCCTGGCCTCCCTAGGCACTGGCACTCTGCACTGTCACCTCTATGTGGTGACCAGGTGGCCAATGCAGGGACAGAAGCCATGCGGATGCTCCGCCCTCCAGGAGTCGGGCTGAAGGCCTCTCAGGCCAGGATGCATCACCGCCATGGCTTCCTGCTGAGCGTCTTTAGGGAGCCCCCACACCTATTCCTTAGCTTCGAAGCAAATGCTCCCCCGCCCCCTTTCCCGTTTCCTCGCAAGTCCCTGCAGGCCGGGCAGGAAACTTGTGCCCGACGATAAGCTAGAAGACAATGACCGGTAGTGGGGGGAGGGGGGCAGGACGGAGGAGGCTCTACAGGCAGAAACCACCACTGCCCCAAGGAGCCTGATGCCCCCAAGGACAACCCCGCCCCCGGCCCCCTCCCCCGCGGTACTGCGGGAGGCAGGCAGTTCCTACAGAACGCCGGCAGCACGTGCCCTCCGTGGCCTCCCCCAGGTCCCCCTGTGTAATTTTGTTTTGCAAGTGGGACAGGGGGGTCAGATGGTTAGTCATGGACACACTTCTAGAGAAATGCTCCCTGTCTTGCCCCTACCCACCCCGGTCAGAAACCAGGAGCTGAAGAGGCCTGAGGTTTTGCCTTGGTGCCTGAGTGGCCGCTGGAGCAGAAGTCCCCCACTCTTGCCTCCTTTTCCATCCCAGGGTCCACAGTGCCATTGGAAGGGGGGGGGGGGTTGGGGTTGGGCGAAGGAGATGTGAGTGGCCCAAGAAAGGGACCCTCTGGCCCACTCTCCAGAGCAACGGCCAAAGGAGAGTGAGAACGGGACTGCTCCCCAGGGCTACTATTTTTAGTCTCCCTCTTTCTCTGAGAAACTCCCCCCGCGGGCTTCTCACGCCCCAGGGGCAGCAGAGCTGGGCCTCGGAGGAGCGCAGCGCTAGGGCCTCACAGAGATCCCAAGTGGGCAGAGCCAGTGCCAGCCCCGGAGCCCTGGTCCCCAGGGCCATTTAACCCTCGCATGGCCGGGGGCTCAGCAATCCCCCTGCCCCCAGGTAGGGACTTTTCATTACGAAAACTGAAGCTCGGAGTTTAACAGGAGGTGGGGGGAGGGTTACAGGAGACGAGAGATGCTCAGGCAGGCAACTTGCATTTTTCTCCCTGGCTTCAGAGACCCCCAGCAGGAAGGGGGTGGGGGTGTTGGAGGCAGAATGTAGAAGAGGAGGAGGCGCTGAGGTAGAAGCTGGGGGTGCTGAGAAGTTGGGGTACCCTGGCACAGGCCCACCACGCCTAAAGGAGGAGGAAACCGTCCAGGCTTTGGTGACTGGTGAGCTGCTCCTGAGCCCCACTTTGTCTCGGGGCCCCAATACTTCATGCCCCGACATCCTTGCGATAGCGACCAGGCTAAAGGGGACATGGGTGAGGGTTAGACGGTCCCCTCCTCAGTCCCCATCACTGCTGAATGACAGTGTGTATTGTTCCTGGCCTTGCTTGCCCCAGTGACCTCCAACCTGAGAGAAATGAATTCAAGCTGAGCTCACCTAACCCACCCTTTGCCCCCCAGCCCCCCCTAGGGATCCTTCAGGAGGAACGGGGAGAAAGTCTGGGAGGCAGCAGTGGGAGAGGCTTAGTCCCTGCGGGGTCCCTTTCTCTGCAGTTGGGCCACCGTGTGCTCACGGATGCTCCTGGAAGCTTCGACATTCCTCTGGCACTTGCTCCCAGGCAGCGGCCTTCCTCTCTCTGGAGCGTCCTTTATTTCCTAGGTCCCTTTGGCTCGGGAACCGGGGAGGGCAGGGGGACCTCTGGGGGGGGTCACAATTCTGCACCCCTAGGCATTCAAACCCCTCCCCATTTCCTGTCTCCCAAATGACCTCACGGTCGCGCTTTGGGGGCACCTCCCTTGATTCCCAGGACAGGAAGCAGGAGGAGCAGGCCGGAGTGCGGATCTGGAGTGGGGCGCCGAAGCGAACGAAGTGCGGGGTGTCAAGTGTTGGTGTCAAGCCTGGGACCAGGGAATTTGGGGAGGGGGGTGGCTCTGATCGTCAGCTTGGGTGTGGGGCGGGGGCAGAAGGGAAGCTGGAGTTAAGTCCTTAAGCTCTTTAGCCAGCGTTTCATCTAGAAGCTCAGCTCATCCAGCTCTGCTGGGTGGTGGTGGAGTGGGGGTCAGGAATGGTTCCACGAGCTCACCCCAGAGGCTTACCCTGGCCACGCCCTTACCCTCTCTCTCCCCCCCCAGCACACCCCCCAACGGAAGTGGGAGCTGTCCCCCAACAGCGGGGAGAGTCAGCACAGCAGCGATGCCCTGGGTGGGGAGAGGAGGGAGTGTGGGGGGAGGAGAAGAGTCAGAGGTGGCATCCGGTCCCACCCAGTTTCTCATCTGGCCCCCAACCAGCTCCCCTAGGGTCGGAGTCACCACAGCTCCCACCTCGAGTCCCCTCCTGGTTCTGGGTTTAACTCACCGAAGGTACTCAGCCCCAGGAGCAACACCTGCAGCAGATTGGTCGCAGGGGACCCGGGTAGGGACACCATGACTTTCCCTGGCCCCAATGGTCAGGGGCACTGGCTCTGGGGCAGTGACCGACAGGTACCGAGGCGCGCGACAGCTGGAGCTGGAGCAGACTCGGGAACCGGGCCACTAACACAGAGGGCAGCCAGAGTGTTTGCGTGTGTGTGCCTGTGTGAGCTGGTGGCGGGGTGGGGACAGACAGGGACAGGGGGCGGGGCATTCGAAGGGGCGGAGAGGTCGCTGACCTCCTGGGCGTGGCGCATGGGTGACCCTCCTGGTGCTCCGGGATCTCGAGGCGGTGACCTCGTCAGCGCGCAGGGTGGGGTCGGGTAAGCCGGGTGCGCCCCCAAGGGCCTGGGGCAGGAAAAGAGAAGCGTCCGGACGGTCACAGTGCAGCCACCACTTCTCCCTCCGCGGGGTGGGTGGGAGAGGATGGACGGGAGGTTTGGGAGTTTCCCGGCTTCCAGGGGCCACCCACACCCCCACATCGTAAACGGCCCAACCAACTGGCTCCGAGCCTACCCAGGCGGCCTTCCTGAAGGAGGCAGAGGGGGCGAAGTTTTCCCCGGCCCTCGGGGCCCCCCCACAGTGTGGGGGACCGAGCGGCAGGGAAGGCTCGAAGGGGGAGGGGGGTGTTGGGGAGGGGAGGGCCGGTTCAGCAGCGCGAATGACCGCTTTCCCAGGGCGGGGGTGGAGAGCATGGGGCGACAGGGGGCGCTGGGCCGCAGGAGCGGCGCGGAGCAGTGGGGCGGGAATGGGTTACAGCCCCCTCGGCCCGGCGGGCCGCCTGGTGGGAGGGAACAGCAGCACTGGGGGGGGCGGGGCAGGGGAAGCCCGGCGCTGCGGCTGACAAGGGGTTACAGCCACGCCCCCTGTCGCTCCCCGCAGCCCGTGGCTGCTCGGCGACAGGCAGCCGGGCCCCGCAAACACTGGCATGCCTGGGGACGCAGGGCCCGTCTTCGCTTGTGGACGGCGAGGGGAGGGCTCGCAGCATGTTCTTGGGGACGCCTTACACCCTGACCCGAGGGTCACCGGGTCTTGTGCCAGGTCCCACGAGCTGGGGACAGATTGGTGGGAGGACGCCCCGGGAACTGAGTGTGGGAAACTGAGGCAACAGGGGCCGGGTTCCCAGCTACCCACCTCTGCACACATCCGTCCCCGGGCCTTACGCTGCCCAGGAAGGAGGGGGCTGCGGAGAGGCTGGACGGAGCCCCCCCTGCCGCTTTGTTCCCCGTGTCTCCACGGCCTCCCACCCCTCATCAGGTCTGCTCTGATTCTCTGATTTCCTGGATTCGATCTCGTTCTGGAGAATTTAAATTGCCCGCGCCGCCCCCGCCCCCTGCGCCCCCTGGCGGCTGCGGCCCCTCAAGGACGCGCACGCACCTGTTCCGCCTCTGTCCCAGAGCCAAAACACAGATGCTTCAAACATCCAGGCACAGCGCTGCCTCCGCGCAAAGGCCACCGAGGACGCAAACCATAACCACGAATTCCTGGCGCTGCCTGCTCTGGGTGACAGTTGATTGGGAAGAAAAGTAGCCAGGTCTCCTGGATTCCATTTACTCCCAACAGTTCTGCTCTATCACTGTGAGCCTTTTGCCTGCCCTCCCAGCTGCTGCTGCTTAAATACCTGCCGGGCAGTGGCTTAGTGAAACGCCTCTGCAAACACTACACTGCCAGTGTAAACTCTGGGATCCAATACTTGGCAGCTCAGTGGCAGCAAAGGCAACAGAAATAGGTAACTGCCAGACTCATACCCTTATGCGGTGACCCGCAGACTTGAAATTGTCAAGTATTTGCGAGTAGGGGGGTGGGTGGGTGAGAGGAGCTAGTGCTTTGATTTTTCCATTCCATCACACTCAAATTTTTCTTGACTTTTTGGTCAACACTGCAGACTTCTCATAAACAGCCCTCCTTTGTGTCCATACGAGGTTTAAGTCACCCCAAATAACTCCAGAAATGCGCTACAAAGTCTCCTGGTTGTATATCCCCCAAATCCCCAAGCATCTGACTGGGTACGCTGGGCTCATCTCCAGCGCGACGTATAGTCTCAACACTCATTCTTCAGAATTTGGATACCACATAATTTGCAACATTGCAAGTCCGCATCCCAAGATTTGTAGGCAGTGAATGTTTCCATGGGACAAAGCGCCGGTCCTTTCGGGACTTGGCCACTGCCCTCGCCCCCATCGAAGAATCTCCACAACCTCCCATTCCAACCCCTTCCTCTTCTGGTAGTCAAGTGGTAGAAATTAGCGGAGCAGCTCCATTACTCTAGTTTTTGCCAAGATGCATTTCAGGATGAACTTTGCTCCCTGTGTAAAGTGAAGACATTGACACAGAAGACCCGTGAGTGACTTGGGGACTGCCTGCATAATCATGCTGTGTGCAGAGCCCAGTGCACAGTTCCATATGCTGAGACTCGCAGGTCACTAGCATTTCTTCCAGGCACATCTAATATCTCTCAAGTATTTTCTAATGCTCATTCTTATGTTCGACTAGAGTGTCTCCATCCCCCTCAAATCAGTTCTAAGGCTTCATTAAGATCTAAATAGTCCACTTTTTGTTGTAAGCAATATTCATGTAGTTATCTGACACTCAAATAGAATGTTCTGGCCAGAGACTGGATATTCAGTATCAACAAGGTACTTTCTAAGTTTCCATTTCCAAATGCTCAGCTTTGTCCTCTTGCCCCAACCCTCACCCAACTGAACCTAATGATGAAATTGTGACCTGGACCAGCTTGCCACCTTCCCCAAGCTGCTCCCGGTGGTCTGGCGGCATGCACTCTCAGTCATGCGAGGTAGATCTAGAACATCTCAAGCAACGGATGCTCTGCTTGAGTTAAGTACTTAACGCAATGGGAAGGGGGATTGAAAAAAGTTGCATGAAGCAGAACGTTAGTTTTGGGGCTGAGTGATGGCCAAGTTTTAGGGGTGCCTGTACTACTGGTAATAATGCTTTTTCCTGTGGCACTTAGCACTGAATACTATGAGGTTATTGCTACAAGATGGTCAATGGAACCTCAACCTGCAGAACTGTGACTTCAAGTTTCAGAGAAGAGCAAACTCATGAGAATTTCCTAAGGTCTGTACCTGCAGACTGTGCGCAGGGAGAAGAGGTGCCACATTCAAACATTCCAGAATATTTACACTCTCTGAACTAGCACCCATTTTTAGGAGCTCACATCAGAAACCAGCCCATTCCATAAACCTAGACTCAAATGGTATTAAAAAAATCATCCCATTGATTATAAGCCCTCTAGCCATTAGAAAAATAATCATCAACTAAACAAGAAGTATCAGAAGGAAAAAAATCACTAGTGGTGGGAAAGAATATTTTTTATCAGTACGCAATTGTATCTGCAATAGTATAGAAAAACAGGAAGAATTATAGCTCTTACCTGTATCTGCAGTCCATCTGAAGTAGAGCACCTGAGCCCTGGCTGGTGTGGCTCAGTGGATTGAGCACCAGCCTGCGAACCCAAGGGTTGTCGGTTCAATTCCCAGTCAGAGCACATGTCTGTGTTGCAGGCCAGGTCCCCAGTACGGGGAGTGTGAGAGGCAACCACACTGATTTTTCTCTCCCTCTCTTTCTGCCTCCCTTTCCCTCTCTCTAAAAATAAATAATAAATAAAACATCTTTAAAAATTAACAAAAACATTGGAACACTCTGAGAAGAAACAATGACACTGGTCAGCAGGATGCAGAGAGTGTGAGAAAGTGAAGACTGGCCGCCTGCTCTGTTGGTCCTGTTCGGCCTTAGCAGGAAGTCACAGCACAGTACCCGCTGCCGGCGCGGCCACACTCTGCTACAAAGAGCCCAACTAGGATGCCAGGAGGCCAGGAATAACTTTAATTTTTTATAAAAAAGTTTAAACGGCAACACAACCGTAAAGTGGGTACATCACAGAAACAAAGGTCTTTGCAGGCAACACTGATCGGGAATAGCAAAACACTTGGTTGGTGAAAAAAAATGAAACTCTAAATTATATACAATAGTAGCTAAAGGTGATATTGAAAAGCAGTCTTATTTACTGTGACTCAAGATTTAACTTGCCATTATCTATTGCTTATTTATTCAGGGTTGTAAATAATACTTATATAGAGACATAGAGATGTGTAAAAATGAAACATTGTGAAAAAAATACAATTTTTCAATTTCATATGAAACTCAAAGTATAAGTTTTGTCCAATATGGAATGTACCTACATTTGTTTATATTAGGGCTCTCACATCCATTTTAAAATTTCTGTTTTTAAAAAAGAAACAGCTGACCCACCATGCAAGTTCGCTGTAAATCTTGTTTGCTCAAAATGAGCATTTTCCGGTGAGGTCTGTTTTGTTTGCTCAGAGTCTGCTGTGATTCCTTAGAGGCTGTACTGGCCCAATGGCGGAGAGTCTCCGTGGAGAGTGTGATGGCAGCATCAGGGTGCGGGGACAGTCGGGGCAATGGGAAGTGAGAAGAGGGAGGTAAGAGCCCAAATCCTTATGAAGGATGACATTCAGTTGTTAAATTTTAAGGGATATCCGATGGCTTTTTCCAGGCACTCAACTAAAGAGCCAGCGGAGAGAAAATCCCTCTCTACTTCCACAAACTTGATGTAGATGGATTTGGGGGAGACTCCGGGATCCACAATGCAGTTCTGAGACAAAAACCCATTAATACCGACCCAATCTTTGCTGAAGGTTTTGGTATTGGCTTGGAAATGTAAAAACAAGCATTGCTGCAGAGTCCTAACCTCAGCGATCCCGAGGTAGCAATAGATAATGCGGGTGGGCTCTACTTCCACCTGTAAGGAGGCTTGTGCTGAAAGGGTTTCCAAGTCAACCCTGCCCTCCTTCCCCGGGTCCAGGGAACTCTGCTCCATGTGGGGTGAGGGGGGCCTTTCAATACATTCTTCATAGCCAATGGCGTAAAGGCCCGGGCTTTTGGGAATGCCTCCCGGCAATAAATACTGAACCACGTTCCCACCGGTTGGTTTGGAGTGGGCAATGGGTATCCAGTCAATTTCCATGTGCAGCTCCAGACACCTCGCTTCACTGATGGTGATCTCTAGAAATTTGTAGTAAACGTTCTTCCAGTTCATCTTCTGCACTCGGGTCATGATGATGCGCCCCTCGGGCTTCTCGGAGTTGAAGTACTCCCGCAGTCGCTTGCCCAGCGGCACCTGGGAGCTGATCTCTGCGTAGTGGTAGCGGATGTCCTCTTTCCAACGGGTGTTATAACCAATCCCAAAAATGGCCAGTTTATTAGAAAGATGAAGCCTTGAAAAGTCTGTCCAGCTCTGAAACAGTTCCCATTTCAACTGTACTGATTCCAAAATCTGGACAATATTCTGCATGATGTCTCTCTTCCTAGAAAGAGAAATAAATATGAAATTCCTCGGGTGTCCAGATCAGCACTGTCCAGCAGAACTTTCTTCAATGATGGAACTATTCTACCCCTGCGCTGCCCAGTATGGTAGCCATTAGCCCTTAAAGTGTGGCTAGTGCGAGTGAGGTAGTTTTAATCACAATTTGAAATTACGGTTAAATAAACACACATGATTAGTAGCTTACATAATGGACAGGGCAGGTCTGGGGAACCAGAGTATTAAAAGCGGAGAAATACTCTTCACTAGGAAGTTTCTAGGAATTAATGACAAACAGCTTTCTGTTACTTTTACAGGCTGGCTGCATTAATCTTAGCAACTGTTGCTATATGGTACCCTAGGACTTCAGAAACCCACGGGTCATGAATTGTTTTAAGTGGCTATTATAACGCTCAAGATAGCCTTGGGACCTAACTACCAAAAGCAAGTGAAGAATGCGGTATTCAGAAAGGTATCCAGTACCACTGAAAATAATGAACATCTTAATTTCTAAGCTGGAAATTCTGAAAGTTCAACGATTTTGGCCGTACATGCTTGCCGTAGGAAAACAGACAGCTGCTTATGAGTAATGGCCTGATGCAAAAAGAAAATGTCTGAGATTCATTACTACTCTCAAATTTAAAAGAACTGCTAGTACAAAACAGAATTAGGATCTGAGAATTCAGATGAAAAAGGTTCACATTAGGCTTAGCTTTTGAGGTAAAAATTCAAGAAAATGAATTGGGACTCTTTTAGAAAATATTTCATAAAGGGAAAGAAAAGTAAAGAAATTTCCATTTTGATTTGGATAGTTAACAGGGTTAAGACAGAAAATGTAGGAAATTCTTTTTGCACATGCTAGACTCGTACATTTACACACGAATATTCATATATATATATGTATGAAATTATAAGTCTGTTCTTAGGTATGGCAGAACTTTGATATTGGGAAATTGAAGTTTGTTAAATATTAACTTAGTGACAAACTATTACCCTCTACATCAAATATAGACTTAAGGTACAAAAATCCTGAACTACCACTCACATGCACTCAAACATAAGCAAGAAACATAAGCACGTGCTGGCTTACTAATAGCTGCTTGAGAGGAGACAGACCCTGGAAACTTCCTATTCAATTCTCCGACCTGGGGGAAAAGCTTCTGGAACAAACTGGGGAACCTTCCATGCAGTCATGCTCAGTCTGGCCTCTACTCTCCTTGGCTTTCTTTGCAAAATGACAGAGGGATGACAAATTTTGCTCTCAGCTTCTTCCTCAGGCCAAAAACGGGCCTGGATTTATCCCTAACCCTTTAGTTTGTCTTGAAAGCTCCTCAAGTGTCAGAGTGGCCATCTAGATGAAATCGCTGTGATTCTGGGGACCTGTCCCTCTGCTCACAGGACACAAAGGCACATGATCACTTTTCTAATATTTATACTATGCTGCTTGTGAGGTGAAGACAGAGGACCATGTGCCCTGCCAGTGTGGCTCAAGGAGTAGGGCATTGACCTGCAAAAGGGAAGGTCATGGGTTCGCTTCCCAGTCAGGGCACATGCTTGGGTCCCCTGTTGGGGCGTGTGCAGGAGGCAACTGATCAATGTTGCCCTCTCACATCGATGTTCCTCTCCCTCTCTTCCTCCCTTCCTTCCTCTCTCTCTAGAATCAATAAAAGGGAGGGGGGAGATATAGGTTTCTGGATGGGCCAATGCTTAAAAAAAACCAACCTATTTTCCTGATCTCAAGGAGGATGAGGCTAAGGAGGTGGGATGGAAGGCAGAGATTTTTGTCTGCTCACTGACGTATCCCAACGCCTGACATACAGTAGGCACTTGATATGTGTGTTGCATAAATGAGTGGAATGCTGCTTTCCTTTCCAAATGCAGAACGAGGTCACCTAAGAGCTTGCTTTTTGATTCTCAGTATGTGATATTATAAGCAATTTAAGTGTCCCATTAGCCCTCCTCTCCAACACCAGGTAAACTCAGGGCCCTGAGACCTGTCTTTCTGTCTCATGTACACACCCCGGCATCCACGCCCACACATGGGCAAACACCGCAAACTCGCCTGTTTGCATGGAACGTACTTATTTCTTCTGACTGTATACAAAGTTCCGAACATTTTAGATTAACCACTGGAAAACTGAAGCTAGGAAAATGAGGAAGAACGACTAGACACGCTTCCTCAGTAACACGGCTCAGGAAGGGTCTTCCCACCACACTTGGATACATGCGCTCTCTGCCCAAGGGGAGCATCTACTTACTGTGCTTCTTCAGAAGACTCTTGTTTTATTTTTAATGTTCTCTTTGTGACAGGTATTTCATCTGAAAAGCAAAGATTTTGAAACAAATTATATCCTCCTAAGAGGTGGCATACATTTATGGAGACAAGTACCTATATATTTGCTGTTCATTCCACTTTCTAATTTGAGGGCTTAATTCTAGTTTCAAACACTGCCCAATGCCAGATTTATAAATATAACTCTTATATAATGAGAGGCATACATTTATATGCAAGATCAGAAATCAGCTCTACGAGTATAAAATTCTTCAAGGTCACCAGCACATTTCTAGCTAGGAGCTTAAAGCTTAATTTCACTGTAAACATGATTTTTAAAGGAACAAGAATGAAAACAATACTGCTCAATTTCAATTTTCTCTATAGGTTTTACAGAGCAATTATTTCCCCAATATCAGGATCAACATGTTCTGCATGTTATTTTTTAAAGATTTGGGGGACTTAACTCTCCGTGGCGAAACCAGATTTACAGGAGGCCAAAGTAATTCAGACCTTACTCCTGTTCTGGAATTAACAGGCAGTGACCTGCCCTTTTTATTCTTCCAGTCTTTAAGCCGCTCTCTTACATTTTGTTGCTCTTACAGTTTTTATAGCCCCTTTCTTCTCTCCCTCTTTTCCAATATTTGAGAAACTTAAAAAAAAACAAAACACCCTGTTCATAAGGAAGATTAGCATTTAATCCCGCTTCTGTTGAGTTAGCATCTGTCTGTCTTCCTGAGCTGGGGAAGCACACCGGCAGTGTGATCCTGCCACGCTTTCTTGGGGGCCACCTGGGAGCCCCGCCGCGGAGTGACAGCACTCGCTGCTACGCGAGGACTCACCACACCACTGGCTGTTAAGGTGCAGTGGCAGCAGCAGCAGCTTGCTCAGTGCTTCCAGGGCATGAAAGTCAAAATCGGAGCATTTCCTACAGAGAGCGACTCACCTATGCTCTCGTAATTAGGCCGCACAAGTTCGCAGATTTGCTGGCCAGAAGTTTTCCATTTTTAAGGTTAAGACCCTGGATAAATCATTCCGGCTACTGTTGGAAGGGGATCGTTTATGAAGTTGGAAGGAATACAATTGCTGCTAAAGCTCCAATGTGGGCCCTTTTTAAGAGAAGCTGAGGCTTCCCTTCACATTTTGTTCAGACTGAACTCTGGGAGGGGACCATTTCCAAATCACAAACAGGAAAGAAAAAGAATTTGGGATCAAGGAAGGGAAAGGGGATCCCATCCACCACAGCAGCCGAGCCAGGAGTCGACGCACGTGGCTGCCACCACTGGGCTGACAGGGGCAGGAGATGTAAGTTGCGTGGGAGTCTGTCCCCGAGCTGCCTGGGCAGTTCAGGACGGGGAAGCAGTTCCGCGTAGTTAGCAAGTGTGCTGGTCCCCAAGTCACCACAGGACCAACGCCAGGCACTAGCTGGCAGTTTAAAGCTAAACCAAGGTGTCCCAAACCGGCTCTATGCCTTGTGCCGACTGCGGGAATGGTACCCGTCCCGGTGCACACAGAAAGACAGGCAGACAGGCAGACAGACACGCGAGTAGCATACGCGTCGCTTCCTTACCCAATTCCTGATCTGTTGGGTAGCCATGGAGATCCTGACTGTGGTTTCCCCAGTCCTCCTGTGAATACTCCTCCATAGTACTGCCGTCGGACTCCAGCTCCTGGTACAAGCCACTACTGTTAATAAGGACAGGCTGGCAGGGCTGAGCATCCCATCCTCCCTGACCAAACACCTGTTCCAACTGTTCAAATGTGTAACTGCTCTTTCTTTTCCCAACACCATGTTCTTTCACCCGACTGTAACACCTGCGAAGGGTCTAAGACACAAAGTCTTTTGTTATTCCTTTAAAGCTGTACTTCCTCTTCCAGGTACGGACCACAGATATTAATTACTATTAGACAGACATGGACAGACAAACACAGACACATTGTTACAGGAATGCTAGATTTCAAATTCATTATTATATTAGAAAAAAATTACTAATTTAGCATTTACTCAAACATGTTATAATTCAAACAATTATTTTACAATTAATAATCCATTAAACAAGAACCATTACAACATTATTGCATGTACCCCATACACATATTTTATACCCCTCCCCCACTTAAAAAGAATAAGGAGAAAAAAAAAAAAGAAAACAAGAAATACCAGCCAGCCAATAGGATGCACACCTGCCACAGAAGAGAGAGAGCTGCTATTGTGCCAGAATTTGGAAAAAAGGGCGGGGGGGGGGGGGACGGACAGAAAGAAGAATTTCCCAAAGCGAAGACTATAACCTTCCTTACTCTTAATTAAGAAGGAATGCAGGGTGAAAACAAATGCTTAAACGAATCGGCTAGTAAAACATTACTTACATAGTCCATACTCCTAACTAACTCCATCTGTCTTTGGAATGTTGCTAAAATTTCAAAGAAGTCAAATAAATAATGCTACAGATTCCCAGTCTCAAGGATCAATGATGAAGAACCAATACACGAATACCTACCCCCAAAAATAAGCCAGTAAGACTAGTCTATTCTAGCAACTCCAACTGCCAGCCAGACAAACCAACAAAAGAGGCTGATACTTTCTTCTCCAGGTGAGGTGTAGGGGTGTTATGTTACTTCTTTTTCTGCATTGTAGCACAGAACAAAGAAATATCATTATGCAAGTCCACACATAAGACCTGGGTAATTTTATTATCTTGCACAACTTCCAATTTTCTTCATGGTCTTCTAAGCCACAATGGCCCGGTTTCCTTAGTTTAATGATACATCATACGCTATTTTACATGGTATCGCAAACGAGAAATGAAGGCCTTAGTCCTGGCGTCCAAGCTCATAGCGGAGCTGCGTTTGCTCTCTACTGCGCCTCCGCCTCCCATCGCTCCCTGCTTTCTTGGGTTTCACCCGGAGAGCTGTCTTGAGACAAGAAGACGCTTTCTCTCTGGTGGCTCCCAAATACTTCCTAACACACCTGCACACAACCAGTTCACCTCAGACTTCACGGACATGCCTTAGCCAGACTAGAAGCTTCTCCTAACTGCGAGACTACTTTCCATAAGCCAATACAGCACCTGTTCTCACCACACGAACTCAAAAATCGTTCACAGAGCCTCCATGAAAATTCAGTATCTTTCAATCACAGTTGACAAACAACAAGACCGTCTGAAAACACTTCCCTCGATGCCAGAAATCCACGTGGACAAAAGGAGTAAGAGCATGACACATACGAGGACAGTGTCCTCTGACATCAACAGAGCAGCGATGAGCGTCGCCCTAACCTGGACCCCGGCGGCCTAACCCCTGTCGAAGCACCTTCTCGTTCTCCCTCGCCCGCTCTCAGGTGCCCCCCATGCCACCTTCAGGGGCTGAGGTTTCTGAAAGGACCCTCTTTAAAACGGTCCCTTCCTTGTCTTTGTAAAGGAGAGTCACAAGTATGCAATTCAAGACTTTCTAGAACACGTGCACTTGGGAAACACGTCATGGGCAGCCCCGCGACGGGAGGAGACAGACGCCTGCAGCAGGTTAGGCAAGCTTGCTCCACACTCCCCTTTCCCAGCGCCCTCTGCCCTCCAAGCGGAGACGGGACTTGGAATTGCAAACATCTCCCGCCCATTTATTTTTATCTCATGATGTCTAGCTGCTGCCTCCAAGAACACCCCAACTGCTCTTTCTGACTCCTCCAAAGACCGTAAATGGAGAGTCCCAGCCCTGTCCCTTTCTCCCTTCCAAGGCCATAAATGGAGATGGAAGCCACGCCACCACAGACTGGCTGCCTAGGGAAAAGCCTTCAGCACCAAAAGAGACCCGTCAGCTCTGTCACTGAGGGTCACGTCCATCCACAGTCAGGAAATACAACTGAGGGTCCTTTGCAGGAAGGTGCCACACTCATCAGGACGTGACTAGGTGGAGACAAAGCGCCTCGACAACACAGTGGGAAACCACAGGAGAGATTTCCTTTTTCTGAAACCACCAAAATTGAGTTTAAGTTTTCACTTGGCTTATGTAATTGTGAATAAGAAGACGAGGAAGCTCTAACAGTTTTAGATAAGAAAGAAGAGTCAAATGATATGTTATATTTCTCACTTTGTAGTGTGCTTGGGTAATACACTTTCACAGTTAATATGCTGATATGTAAAATGTCTAATACAGGGCTGAAGAAAAAAAATGTTTGGTAATCCTAAGTCATTATGATAAAACTGGATGTACTGAAATAACACTAGAAAGATTTCCAAGTCGATGTTAACTCTCTCAAAATATAAATACGCGTGAGGTAACTTCTGGGTTCAGTAAAGACTACAGATCCTAGGGAAGGCTGTTTAAAAAGGACACGTTAACTAAGATGGGAAAAAAAGTGAGAACTCAAACATCCGCTTGACTGCTACTGTGAGAAACACTGGGATTTAGTTAAACTAGAGGGATTTTAGAAATGGATAGACAGGCCATACGTGGACCTTCCAATTCTTATCACCCATGATAAATCAGACAAGTTATACCTTCCACACTCTAAATGATTCACCAAGGCATACACTCCAGTTGATTGTGTGTGTGTGTCAACAGCCCTAAATAAACCAACTTAAAAATTCACTCTAAATCTGAAATTACGATAATGCTCCAGAATCCTGGAAAAACGAAGCCTCACCTCCCGTTTCAGACAGCTGCACCAACCAGGCCCAACAAGCACCTCAGTGTAGCTTTTCTTGGGGAGCCACTTCCTATTTCCTGCTCAGCACAAAACCCCTGCTCCCTTCCCTTCTCCTTTTACCTGACTCATCTTAGAAGTGCACAGTAATTCAAGCTCTAGCATTAAAAAAAAAACAAAACTAAGATCTCAGGGGGGAAAGAATCTGCTTAAAATTATTAAAGACTATTCCAGCCACAGCTAAGAAGAACACTTTCCTTATTGCTAGAAGTTTCCACGGTTAAACAAGAGGACTGTCACCTCCCGGGGGAAGAACTGGGAGAGAGGCTGTGCCTGGAATGAGGTCACAGGGACAGAGGTCAGGGGGAGTCAAGAAAATCTGGACAGAGGAACTCAAGTGTCAGTGACCACTCGCTCGGGCGGTCAAGCCAGGAGTTCATGGGGACTTGATGGGGAGGACATCCCGGGCGAATGCCCGCTAAATGCACCGCGCCCGACGTCTAAAGGCTCCAAGAGGAAAAGGACCAGAGAAAAGTCCGGAAGGATGTCCCATCACCAAAGCAGGGAGAAAAAATAAGATGGCTGACAACTGACAATGTAGAGACAGAGGGGAAGTTTTGCCAAAGTGTAAGACCAGGGTGAAAAGAAATGAGAGAATAAAGATGACATTCACTGTGGATGAGTGTAAGGGGGGGGTCTACGGGGTGGGGAGGGGGGGAGACAGGTGAACAGAGGCAGGAACTGCGGGGGGGCGGGGCGGGGGTTGGACGGCAGCAATGCAGAGAAAGACCCAGGGTTACAGTACACGTAACATTAAATACAGCGCACGATGCAGCTATCTTGCCAAAGTAAGTAAATCCAGTATTGGGCTGTATAAGCAGAGGAATCACATGTAAGCTATGAAGGTGGCTCTTCCTCTCTATTCAGCACCGGTGAGGCCACAGCTGGAGCACAGCGTTCAGTTCTGGGCATCGAACCAGCTACAAGAGAGGGAAATTGTAGAGTTCAGAAAAGGGCAAATAATATAATGAAAGGCTTGGAAAATAAGATCTGTAAGTAGGGCCAGCGGTTTCATCAAAGCCCTTTCTGACATTATATAAGCTACGCTGGGGGTAAACACAACGTTTCTTTTGCCTCGTGTCCTCCGACGCCTGCCCCGGCTGTCAGGAGGCGCGAAGCAGGGACGTCTTCCGCCGCGTGGCAAGGCCGGGCCGGGCCGGGCCGGGCCGAGCCGAGCCGAGCCGAGCCGAGCGAGCCGCCGGGGCACGCACCGGCTCGCTCCGCTACGGGCGCCCTCGTTTTCTCAAAATGGACCCCACTTCATTCGGCCATGAAGTAAGGACAAAACCACTGCTGTAACAGGACTGACTGCAGGTGGGTCAGGGCGTACCTAACAAGGAGGAACAGTCATTAGGCATAATAGCTCCGGAAACGCGTTGCGAAGAAAACGTTCACTGGCGTGATCAGCCTAAGGTGCCAGGTGAAAAAATAGAAGTCCGATTGCAAGGAGGGCAGCTTGGTTGTAACAGCGGGACACAATGTTATCGGGGGAAAAAAACATGCAGTGAAACAGACTTTCAAATGTAGTTGGCTAAGCTGGCCATACTAGAAATGCATTACATAGTTTATCTTAACATTCTGCCAACTCACTAAAACAAATTTGAGATTTTCTTTTGACCCAAGTGATTAAATAAAGAATACACTTATTTGCAAACAAAGTCTTAAAAATCACATGCTATGCTCCACGAGAGAGAGGGGAAATTACACCCGGGGCAGAGCCCCGGGCGCTGGTTACAAACGTGTTGCAAACAATACCTCAGCTTAAGCAGATGTGTATTTTGGAAGCAAAAAAGTCTTTGTGAAACAGATCTATCTTCTTCCTTTAAACTTAATTACTGCTTTATTGCAGCTCTTACTAGTTGCTCTTACTTAACTGAGGCAACAAAACAACACTGAGTTCATTCAGTATCTTTAAGACTCAAATTTTCTTTACTTAGTTTTATTTTCTGTGAGCACAAAGGTAGGGGGAAAAAACCCTGAAAAAGTAAATATACACATTTCTGCAGGCAGTAAGAGGGGTATTAAGAATATAAATTTCTGTATCTATCTATCTATCTATCTATCTATCTATCTGCAGAGATGTAAGTAATGAATAGGATGTGATTTAGGGCAAAATACATCCATCTGGGG